ATAATTTTTTATTTATTTATTTTTTTTTCAAATTTCTGAATTAAATTTCATTTTGAGGTGGTCATGCAGTTAAAAAATACCAGGGTGATAAAATTGGCCTGACATCACAATGAAGAAAAATAAAGCATAATTAAAGTAGTCACGTGGAGCAAACAATATGCAGCAAAAAAAGAAAAAAGAAAAAAAGTCTCTTAGTAAGTCTCCTAAAATATCACAGAATTTCACTTTTTATGACAAAAGATGGTTAGTTCCATTTGTAAAATTTCCCAAAACATGATATTTATGAATGAATAATTCATGGTTTTTGAAATATATTCAAGATGTGTGCATTCACACCTATCAAAATGTAAGGAAGATGTGTTACTTTTTATTTGATGGTCACACCACATGACATTGAATTTACACTTTACTTGAAAATGTTTACATTTTCATTACAAAAAAATAAATTTTAATGAACTTGGCATTACATTTTCTATTCCTTTTTAACAGGGGAACAGACATCTGAATACAGTTCACAGCAGTCCAGAGTTCCTGATCTCATTGCTCTAGATGTTGAAGCGAGTAACAAGAGACTGCTTAATATTCTCAGAATGATTCTGAGTGATCAGTCAACCCCTGAGGACTTTGACACTGCAGTTGAGGTGTTGAAAACATGGAGAAAACTGAACAACAGCTACTCTCAAGACTGGCTTTGTGAGTACCTTCAGGAAATAGATCAGTTTGTGGAGAACCACTTTCCCGCACTGCCAACAGAGGGACCACAAGGATCTCAATTAGAGCAGATGCAGGACTTTCTAAACAGCGCACAGAGCATGATATACGATGAGGTGTGTCGATTAACACCTTTACTGGAAGATGCTGGACTGCTAGTTCATCTGATGGACAGTTACAGCCGTCACCTCTTTACCAACCTGGACCTGCTCCTAAAAAAAGATCTTTCAGCGAATGAAGTCTTCAGCCTTCTACTGTGGGGAAAAGATGTTTTCTTCAGGTATGAAGTTGATCGCTGTGTACTTTTCTGTAAATTTATGTGTAATGAACAAATAAAGCAAGAACTGTCGACAAATATATGAACTAATTTATGTTTCAGTCCAGACTCACAGCATTTCTTCAGAGTGTACGACCCTCTGCTGTTGATAGGTTGGTTTGAGAGAGCAACAAGGAAGCTGCTGCCAAAACTGCAGGTCTTGATATGCTCCATCTTTATTTGTTAAAAGTATTATCAGTGTATAGGCTAAAAAAGAGCACCCAAAATCAAAAAAGGAAGGACATAAAACATGTCTCTGTCCCACTTTAACTGCCACAGAATGACATCTCCACAACTCTACAGAACATCCTGCACTATGATGAGGAACATGGACATCATGAGGACTCAATGGATGAAGAAACTTTCATCAGAGTTCACTTAGATGTCACCCAGGTAAAGAAAACAGTGTGCAATGCTCATTTGTTTCTCAGTGAGATATGGGGTGATTTTGAATGGTTTTAAAATATGATGTATTGCACACTTATTGTATGTTGTTATTTCTTTACAGTGTCTGAATGCTGTTATTCACAATTATAAAGAATTTAGTAACACCCTGATGTGTACAGCACAAACGCTCTGCCTTAAAGAGCTTCATCATTTTGTTCAGGAGTAAGTGTCTAAAATGTCTTCATATTATCAAACTATTTGTTGATATACATATTTGTGGATTTTTGTCTTCATAAAAATAATTACTTTAATTCCTATGTGTTTTTCTAGGTATGTGCATGCAGAGAAAAAATGTCTTGGAAAACAGAAACCTCTGAACTCAAAATATGTGCATCTGTTTCGACTCATCAGCACCAGTAGGCAACTCAGGTGACTTCTATTTTTTTATGATGAATATATTTATGCATGTATATCCAGTGTATAATTAACTGGCATTTCCTTGGATGTTCTGATTCATCCTGCATTAGGTTCATATACAGGCAACCACAATACTGTAGTTCTGCCATAAAAACAGTTTTATGCATATATTTATTTTGCTGTAGATTTTTTGCTGATCGACTCAACAATCCGGATATAAACAACAGTAACGACCTCTCAAACATCATCCGCATGTTAGAGGAGCTGGAGGATCACGTTCTCTCAATTGTACAGAAGATGATGAAACACTTAGCACAGGTAACATCATTTCATCATCAACAGTTTATGTACAGAAGGAAAGTTGAGGGATTTCCCAAATTCCTAAAAAGTGAACGTCCCAGACATTTGCATACAGTTTGCATACCTGTCTGTCAGGGTTTTCAACAATGAAGTGGCAACACTTTATAATAAGGTTCAGTTTGTTTAGTTAATGCATTAGGTATTATGAACTAACAAAGAACAATACTTTTAAAACCTAGAGTGTTAATTATGGAAAAATTGTTGTTTATTGTTCATGATAACTAAGCATTAACTTATAAAGCCCTATGACATAAACAATAAAGACACATTGTTTTTACGCCCTCATTAAATAGTTTCTTTGTAAATGTTCATTTCTAGGACTATTTAAGAAAGTATTTCAAAAAAGATGGTGAGCAAATTAAAATGCTGACAGAGGCAATTCAAAAGCGGTGTGCATCTCTGCCTCAGACTGATGTGGGAAAAGAGATTCAGGAGGTTGGTCCTGTGCTCAAATATCCAGTCAAATGTATTATTCAAAAACAGAATTTTAGCTTTACATGACCTTTTACACTTATTCTCTGCTCCTCTACCCCGCAGATCTTTGTTAATGTAGCCTATGACTGCATTTCACACGTATATCTGGATTGCCTGATGAAGAGCAAGTTCAGGCGGCTAGAGAGGAGATGGGGAAATGTCGGAGAAAGGATGAGAGAGGACGCTCTCAGTTTTCGCAACACATTTACTGAACTGGTGAAAAATAACTCTATAACATTCAATTAAATTACACTCATAAAAAGAAAGGTTACAAAAGGGGATTTTCAAATCGATGGCGTAGAAGAAACATTTTTGGCTCCCCAAAGAACCTTTCGATAAACAGTTTTTAAAAGAACCATTTTTTCCTAAGTGTGAAGAAATTCTTAATGATCTAAATAATCTTTTTACACTATAAAGAACCTTGAAAGCTTCCAAGGATGTTAAAGGTTCGTCATAGAACCATAGATGTCAATAAAGAACCTTTATGTTTTAAAACTGTGCTGCATTTTGGTCTCCTGTTCAAGTCAGAGAATGGTTTCCATTTATAACTGTTACATGAATGAAAACAACTTATGTTGAGGGAACTGATTTCTGCCATTGCTTTTTAAAGCAAGTGATGCAATGCCAACTAAAATGGCCATACAAATGTTTTCAGAATTAATTAAAAAGAAGTGTGTCAGTGACAATGAATTCCCCAGAGTATGACTCATCTAACATTAGCCACAGCATCAATGCAATGCAGTATTTTCATAGACAATGTATCTGTTTTACAGATTGGCATTGATGACCAGAGGAACCATCTCCTTCAGAGAATGAGTGAAGTTTTGCTTCGCACTGATGTAGATGCACTGAAGATTACCTGTTGTGATTTGTTCAGGGATTTCCCTCAGGAGAGGTAAACTTAGCCAATGACGTTTAACTTAGTATGTACTTTGTACACATGATTACAGGTCTGGTTTTATTATTTTGTTTTCATCAGGCAGTGAAGTTGTCTTCTGATTGTTTTGCAGTGAGCAGTATGTACCTGGTCTGCTGCGCCGGAAGAGGGTGTTATCAGAGCGACAGGTGAGGGAAGTGCTGGATATGAGCCGGGACCTCGGCCTGGATCTAAAGCCTAGACGTGTCACCTGTCAGCCTCTAAAGGGACTTTGCTGTTGTCTTTGATATAAATAACAACATCAGCTAGAATTGTATAACCTTTGTTTACAAGTTTAAATTGATAACATGACTGTTTTGTGACATTCGGTTATAAACATTAGTTGTTTATACAGGTACATTTATATTTTCATCAGATACAATATTTTTTTGTACCTATAATGACCTTTTGATTTTACTTGAATATAGGAAATAATGTGTCTATCGGACCACCGGAGAAAAATTAATTACCGTTTTTGGTATGTCTTTTCTATGATAGTATAATTCATTTTGACTGCTATATTTAGATTAAAAACAATAAGTAAAATGTACTTAATTTTTCTTTTACAAGTTTTTGCACACAAATTTTTAAGTATGGAATTAAGTAAAATCTACTTAACTAAGTTATGTAAAATTCTTATAAAATAAGTAAATTTAACGTGGCCAGTTAGCGTTTGAGTAATTTGTACTTAATTATTGCAATACTGCAATACTCAAGTACATTTCACTCAATCATGGTTTGTAAAGTTTACTCAAACAATGTAGCACTGAAAAAAACTATGCTATTAAAGCATGTGGTTCACTTATAAACATGTATGTAAGCAAGTAAACAGCTTGTTGTCCTTTTTAAGATAATATGTTTACTCAATTTAGATATTACTCAAATGAACTAAGATCTCAATACTTGGTACACAATGACGGTAACAGTTAGTGGACAGTGTTTGAGTATGAATGGGTCATTTTGACCCATTTACACACAACATTGTAAACAGAACTTGAAAACAGTGAAAAATGTAACATTATTAATTACCCATGCCCTAGTGCATGATGGGAACAACGGGATCATAACTTTGATATTTACTTTGTAAACATAACAAACAATTCCAAGTAAAATATACTTATAAGTTCAAACTTTCATTTCTACAAGCTTAAATTGAATACTAATATAGAATTTACTTCTTTTTTTTTTAAATTCTTGCCTGAACTAAATTAAAAAGTTTTTCCGCAGTATTTACTTCACCACAAAATCATTTTTATCAGTGAGGATTGTAAAAACATGTCCAGCTATTTCTTAAATTATTGTTATATTATTTAATATTTATATTGGTTCTTTTTTATTCCTATTTGAAAATAGGACACAGTGTTTCTTTTATGTAAGATTATTTTATCATACAAGAGTCAGTGGTACTATATAACAGGTAACTTTAAGTGTATAACAAGTGCCTTTGGTACCTCAATAAAGACATAAATGACCTCTTTTTTTAACAGTATCGATGCTTGGTTGTCTCGATCTGCTGGAATGCATTGCATTTGAAATGCATTTGCATTGTGTGTCTGTATGGCTGAAAAAATGTACACTACCACTACATCCTGTGTTCCTGTAGAGGATACAACTTGTTGGGAAATCTTTATTAACAGACTCTTTCAGGAACTACACATGTATTGTGACAGCAGGTGTGTTTCCGAACTGTAACTTCCACACTACTTGAACCTATCACACCATATCCTGTTTGCAGACGTCTGTTACAGGCATTCCCTTCCCTCCAGTAATCACCACACAAAGCGGCAAAGAAACTATTAAGATGTGTGTACCGGAATTCTTTGATGCTAATAACAAGACACAGTTACCATAAATTCTCTGAGGTTTATTTTTCATAATCCACATTACAATAGTAAACTGGAGAGTAAAAACAAAGACAAATTTTTAAGGAACAACACAAAATGTAAAAATGGTGATTTGCAATTTTATTAACAAAAGAATTTCAGTATGTACAAAATGATTAAGCACAAGCAGTTCTACAAAAGCAAGCAAATATACACAAGCAATGTTATGAAGCAAAATTCATTTGACCCTCACTATAGAAAAGAAGCTCTTGCCAAACTGGAGTGAGTCCTGTGTATCACTGAGCTGATCCTTGCTGCAAGTGATGCTCTCCAGGATCTTCTTGAGGTCTGATGGAGAAAGATTTCCCTTGAGTCTCAGCCAAGCAGAAATATGACGCTCACTGTAACAAGAACACAGACATGAGAAAAGTGCAATGGTCGTTTTGCATGAATAATTGCACAGCAGAAACCACCATACCTGAGATCAGGGTAAAGCTTCATCAGACTTGCCAGCTGTAACTTTATAGTGTTTGGATCCTGTAGCTTTAGCAGACCTGCTAAATTGGGAAGAATGTCTTTCAACCAATCCATATTTGATCCCTGTGATAATGAATTAATGAGGATTTAAAAATTAGACAATGCCTTTAAAGTAATCATTAAATTGGTTTCCTAAGAAGTTATTTGTGCATTTTTGCATATTAAACTGGGATAAAAGACAGTAGTTGAACAAAACAATGACCTTTAAGTAGGACGAGTGTACTTACAGCTGCAGTGAAGTATGTATGTATACATTCACTGTTTATGCACAGTGATGATGCTGCCATCTGTTGCTGTGTTTTATTTGAAAGTTTGATCTTTTGCTTCATCATTTTCCGGACATATTCAGCTAGAAACACCTTATGCATTCCACCAAGCAGCTCCTGGTCATCATATCAATCAAATCAATCAATCAATCAATCAGTCTGAAATGAACCAAAAAATACTCAGCAAATCAGTCTTTTCGTTTGACTGATATGTTTATACCTGGCAACACATTTTGTCCAAATTGTTGAATTTCTGAATATGTCTGTCCAGCTTTGTAAGCAGCTCTTCACATACACCCTCACTGTCCTTGAGCCACTCGCTGGAACCCACCTTCATGTACAAGTCCTGCAGAAACACACATTGACACATGGTTATTTTAATGCATATGAATTGCATTGAGATGCAGGATCTGGTCATGATCTGGACCTGCTCAAGCCACCATTTATATAGTCCTTTCATATAAACTAGACAAGCAGTTAATAAAAGGTAATAGTTTGGCTTTTTATATACAATGGAAGAATCAGGAGGCGGCAGCCAGCTGCTCACATGAGTGTGTTCACTGCCAAGACAAATCACCTCAATGAGGGTTTTTGAAAACAAGGAAAATCTATTGTGTTGGTCTAAATTAGGGTCTGGTTTATTTATATCCATAATTAAATAGGAGTGTTTTGATAAAGCTAGTGGAAAACTGTTATCTATTTGAATTACATGTATTAAATGTATAAATATTAAAATACATATACATACCTGGGGCCAGAGGTGTGAAAATATGATTTCTTGAACATTCAGTAATAATTACTTTTTCAAATAAAATATATACATATTTTTATATTTACTACTGTTTTTAAGTTTGGATTTTTAAAAAAGAAATTAATATTTTTTTATTCAGTAAGGATGAACTAAATTGATCAAAATTGAAAGTAAAGTCAATTATAATTTTACACATTATTTCAAATAAATGCTGTTCTTTTGAACTTCCCATTCATGAAAGAATCCTGAAAACACAACTGTGCGACCCCAAACTTTTTAACAGTAGTGTATATATGGTTATATATTATACACATACTAATTATATATAAAAAATTACATTTTCTAGTAAAAATTCCACCATTTCCCGAAAATGGCCCAGAAGCTATTTCTACCTAACATTGTCCTTTAAAGTGAATTTCATGAATTTTAGTACTTTTATTACAATTTTAGTACTTTTATCTTTTACTTTTCTCATGCTCAGATATTGTAAGATATACTACATCCTAAAATTGAACATTCACAGCTCATATGCTAAAAGTTTGACAGAACATTGGCAAACAATAACATTTTTTTTTATTACATAACAATGAAAGAAACTACATTTAGTTTTTACCTTAAGTTCCTTAAGCATATTAGAAGTGAAGTGGTGGTGGCTGCCTTTTATCATTGTATCCAATAAAGAGAGACAATCAGTTTTGACATCTTCAGGGAACAGATGTGCTTTCTTTGTAAAGTAGTCCCTGTGTGGGGGGTTGACACTTTTAACACGAATTGAAAAATGTTTATATGAATCAAATACGCTGAATAAAAGTGACACACACCTGCACTGTATGAGGCATGAGAGGTTGACCATCAAAACAGCCTCAGTGTTGGTCTGCTTGCTCTTCATGACCTTTGCATGAAATGCTTTGTAACTGTAGGAATGGAAATCTAATTAATTATAATAATTTGTGTAAAATATTTAGCAGTACAGACTTAAAGCAAGAATGATCAAAAAGGATGTTATTGGTATTTTGAGAAATGAATATAAAATGAATGAGTTTAAAAAGCTTACTCTGTCAGAAAATGTCTCATCTGGCATGTGATCACCTGTGCTTTTGTCTCATCGCCTAGCACCTTTTGAGCAAACTCTACATGTTTATGAAAGCACTAGGAAAAGGGGGAAAAGAAAAAAAAATGTATGTTTTCCTCCAGAAATCCATTATTTGCTGAAGGGAAAGAATGGTTGCTTTTTCCTCTTTTTCATTACCTGGATGACATCAATGGCCTGATCACAGCAGTACACCTGGTCTCTCAGCTGTGGAAGTTCTCCTTCCTTCCAGGCTGTTTCTTCTCTGTCCAACATTTTGTGAAGGCATCTGCTCACCTCCCTCTAGTGAACAATAATATGAGAAAATTAAAACTTAAACTTTTTGCTGGAAGCACATCTATGGCAAGATTCTACAAGCAAAACATTGTTTCTTTTCATGCACTGGTCAATTTTGCTTCCATAAAATGTCTTTTTTCAGACTAAGGAAAAAACATCTATATCTTTATTTTATTACACTTGATCTATTTGAGTCTGTAGATTTAAATATAGCTTTAAAGGCGTTTTTTTCTCCTGCACTAAGCCAGAAATCTCCACTTCATTAACACTTTCGTACACCTAACTTTACAGTGTTATTATATGATTTGAAGGCTATTACAGAGGAATTTTTCATATCATTCGCCTGGTTTACATAATATTTTACTCTGAAAAAAAAAGGGCTGTTGACAGATTTTTCTGATTTACTGAGTGATAAAAAGAGATCCTAAAAACCTTTTATTCTATTATGTCAACAAAATGAAATAAGAATCTTGAACCTGGCTTCATCCAATGTTCAGATTTCTGT